AGGCGAGTGTGTACAATTGTGGTGAGTGTGTTGTGTGTGGTGATTGCGTGTACCTTGTGTGTTTGTGTGCTGTGTTGTGTGTGTGTTTGTGTGTATGAGATGCGTGTTTGTGTGTTTGTGTGTTGTGTGTGAAGGAGGTGCGTGTTTGTGTGTGCTTGTGTGTTGTGTGTGAAGGAGGTGAGTGTGCGCGCATGTGCGCACGTAAGCATCTCATTCAACATGCACACTCACCGCCCAACACGCACGCACACAAGCACGCACACGAGCACACAATTCTCTCCCCCACTCCCCCACTCTCGCTTGACACAACGGCGTCGGTCACATCATAGGTCGACAGAAGTAATAAAGGCATTACCTGGTCAACCCATGTGCGGTCCATCCAGTCGTCAGCTTCAATGGGCGATTGCGCCTTTGCCTGATCGATGATGTGCTTGCACAGGTCCGCAAACTGCTCCGGCGTGGAGGCGTATGCCAAAGTCGCCTGCCCATATCCATCCGTGTGCGCGGGCTGCAACCACGGCGACAGCATTGCCAGGAAGAGCTTTGAGTAGTTGTCGCTCTCCAGCCCGGCCTTAAGCTGCGCACTGCTGCTGCTGCTGGCTGTCGTGGCTGAAGTGGTGGCCGCGATGATGACATGGACGCTCTGGAACTGCTTCAAGCAATGCACTACTTGCTGGCACACGCGCTTCACGTCATCTGCTGCTTGCAGGAATAAGGAGGGCGGAACAATGGTGATGCCGCAGGCCTCATCGACAATGAGGTCGCAGCTGCTTGTGGCGCTCCGGCTGCTTCCCACAGGCACGCACGTCACTTGCAGCCTGTTGTCGCCCAGAGACACACGAGACAAGCAAATGTGAGCGGTCATTCGTGTGTGTGTGCGTTTGCGTGCGTGTGTGCGTGTGTGTGTGTGTGTGTGCGTGTGTCTGTGTGCGTGTGTGCGTGTGTGCGTGTGCGTGTGTGCGTGTGCGTGTGTGTGTGTGTGCGTCTGTGTGTCTGTGTGTGTGTGTGTGTGCATCGGTGTGTAACTGTGTATGCGTGAGGGTGTGTGTGTGTGTGTGACTGTGTATGCGTGAGGGTGTTTGTCTGTATATGCGTGTGCAGCTTGCATGAGCAGGGCAGAGGGTTGTGGAGGTACTTGTCTTCAAGGGCGAGCACGAGATCGTCGTTCTGCAGCAGTTGTTGTGATGCAAACAGCTTCAGCTCCATCTGCTCCTGCGCCTGCTGTGGGACCAGAGGTGACTTGAGACCAGGTGTGCCTGTTGGTCGTTGATCATCATCAGCAGCAGTATTCGTGCTTCGCCCCTGCCCCAAGACCTGCGCAGGTGGCGTGGAAGGGCCGTGATCTTCTTGGCCTTCAGCAGCAGAAGATGCGCGTGCTGCCGCCGCGCGCAACTGCATGAACGCCTCCAACCCAGACGGCAGCCCCGCACCTGCTAAGGCTGATGGCTCCCTCAGCGCACTGTGGGCGTTGTGAGCAGTGGTCTTGCTGGTCTGAGTAGCGGTGGTGTCCGTGCTGGCGCCGGCGTCTTCGTCGTTGATATGCACTGAAGAAGGAAGAGGGCGTGGTCGAGGTGGAGAAGGGACTGCATGTGAAGAGTTGAGCATACTGCTGTGGCCACCCACAGTCAGCTCATTGAGGGGAAGCAGGCGTGGCAACTGCCCTTCATCTTCTTGGTCTTGCTGCGGGTCGCTTGCTTTGCTGCTGGTGCGCCTGAAGTACACGTTTGCCAGCTTGGCATCGTCGCTGCGGTCACTGGAGTGGTGGCGGTGCTGCTGCTTGGACGTGGAAAAGGCGGTGCGGCCCGTGTCTGTGAGCGGCGTCAGCGCACCAAGCACATCCCACGTCATGATGCGGTCGTCAAAGGTCGTGTGCTGCTGCAGGTCCAAGCTGGCGAGCACTTGGCGGAGAAAGTGGTGGAGCGAGGCCAGTGACCCACACTGCCTGTGGAGGACGTGGCGTGGCAAGGCCAGCTGCATGGCGCGCACCTGAGAACGCAGTGGCTGGTGCTTGGACCACCCTGCCAAGCGCTCGCCCATCGCCCCGATCATGTGCGCATCGTGCGCCTCGCTGTCGACCACAACAACTTCGTCCAAGTCCTTGAGGATGCTCTTGCGGATATCCGCGAGCTTGGTGGCATCTGACTGTGGTGGCAGGGGCTCCAGCAGTGGCTGTGGCGGCGAGGTGCCTGGCACTCCTTTGGTCGTAGTTGCTGTTGTTGCTGTCGCTGCTGCTGTCACTGTTGCTGTTGTTGTTGTTGCTGTTGTGGTGGTGATGGTGACGCTTGCGGGTGGGGATGGTTGGTGGTTCTCGGTAGTGCTGTCGTCAGTGTTGGTGCTGGGTGCCTTGGAAGCTGTTGACGTTGATGCTGCGGCACCCTTGCCGAAAACAGCTGCTGCAAGCCTGCCTGGATTGAACGCGCGCTTCAGTTGCTGCTGGTCGAAGCCTCTGTTTCCTGCCGCCTCTTCTGGTGAGGATGGAGGCAGGCCTTCTTCGTCATCGCTGCCTGCTAGCTCTTGCAGGAACACCTCGGCATTGGCCCCTGTGACACGGGGCCGTTCTGGCGATAGGATAGGGTGCAGCTCCATCTCGTCATGCACGGGTTGTGGGTGTCCACAGTACTTGCTGCGCAGCTGTTGTTCACCACTGCGTGGAAATGGCGTGGAGATGGATAGATGAGTGGGCGCAAGAGGGAAGAAGGGAGGGGGAGCGTGAGGTTGTGTGGAAGGAAGATGATATTGAATCATGAAATGCCAAAGATCTGATGGCAGGAGGACGCAGGGCTGTCACGAGAAGCTGAACGCTGATGTGCCAACATACTAGAACACGCAGAGCACACACATACACACACACGCACACACACACACACACACATACACACACACACATACACACGCACGCACAAACAACCACGCTCAAAACAACACCCACACACACCTCAAGCACACACATCAAGCACACTCATTCATGCCTGTCATCGTGTTGAGCTGGTTTGGCGGGAAACAAGGTGGGAGGAGTTGGTGACGCTGGCATCGGGTCCTCTTGTGCAGCTTGAATGATGGCCGTGACGGGGTGCAGTTGGTGGTTCCAGGTTGCCTCTGGAAGCGCGTCTTCGAGCACAAGGCAGCCTCGTCCGTCGTCGTCAAAGGCCACGCTGTGCGATTTAGCACCATCATCGCGCGGGGTCACATACAAGTTGAAGGCGTCCTCGCTGGCTGCGCAGGCTCGTGCTCTTGGTTCTGCTTTAGGGCTCGCATCGCAAGACAGTTTGGCGCCAAACAGGAGCGTGTGCTCATCTTTGGCCCCAAAGAGCAAAAGGCGCTGCTGCTGTGGGTGCTGTGGTTGTGGTGAATGCCGTCCCTTGCCCTCTCCTTTTTCTTGGCTCTTGAGACTCTCCAGGTCCCCTTCGTCATCACTGTCGCATGTCGCAGATAGGGCGTCGCTGTGCTCGTCCAGAATTGCCTCCACATGATCACCCCACCACCGCTGCTTTCCCTGGCCTGTGCTCGTGTTGTCGCTCGTGGCTGGACTGCTCAGCTTCAGGCGCGTCTCAAGCGTCGTGCTCGCAAAGTCTTCCCAGTAAAACTCGGGCTCCAGCCCGTGCGTGTTCATCCACTCCATTGCGGAATGCGAGCAGAGGTGAGGAGGTGAGGTAGTGACCGCGAGCGTGGAAATGAGTGGGGTTGGTGTTGTATGAGCTGGTTCTTGTTTGAGTGTTTAGTCAAAGTGTCATTGCAGGCAGGAGGCAGGCAGGTGTTTGCACGCAGCTTCACTGCTGTGGTTTTGGCGGGAATTTTTTTTTTGTTGTACGAAGTGGGTGGGTTGGTGACAAGTGTCAGACTGGCAGAAGTCGCAAGAACGCATGGAAAACAAGAAAACGAGACCAGGGAACCATCACATCGAACCAGAACAGGAAGGATCCCACGAAAGTGTACCCAATGCTGTGTGCTGGGGCGTGGTGGGCTCGTGGAAACGTGAAGTCAAGCAGGAGTCAAGGGCACTCAAGTGAGGCCGTGCACGTGAAACGCCCAGCAATGACTACAACAAAGGTGCCACGTTGTAGAAGTGAAAAAAACATCAAATTCAAAACGGTGGTCAGTGATCTCAAACAAAGGCAAGAGCTGGAAGTTGCTACGGGCGAGGGCATCGGCTGATGCAACCACGAACGGCACAGCAACGAGCAGCAAACGACTCGCTCCAAGAAGAAAACGACGTGTAGAACAGCAGCGAAGCGAGCAGACGTTATTGAGCGGGAGTGAGAGAAGCATTCCAAAACCGCCAAAGGCGAAAGGAAAGAACAGCAGTACCATCGAAGTAGTTTGTTCACAGCTCAAGCCGATCACCCTTCGTGGGAGCCCTATTAGGAAGACGAAGCTGTTCTTCAGTGGGCAGGTCACCATAGATACCGCCATCTTCGCGCATCGTGATGCTGGTGGGTATCTTGGCACGGCAGTTGGGACAGGTGTCGTTTTTCAGTAGCCAAACCAGGAGGCAATCGAAATGGAAGACATGAAGGCACGGGGTGATAAACATGTCGTCGTTGTTGCCGCGCACCTCCTCCAAGCAAATACTGTCCGTGAAGCCGTGGAAGTAGATGCGCTCCTCCTTGCCGGCGGCGACGAACGCCTTGAACAGACGATGTAGATTGGTGTCCTCTGCCTTGTCGAAGCGGAACAGGTTGCGTATGTACTTGACGAAGTCAAAGAGGTTGCGAATGCGCAGGCGTATGGGTTCACGCTCGGGCTGTTGGTCAATGGTGTCCACAATCTTCTTCACGAAGATTGAACGGTCCTCAACCAGAAGATCATCAACCCTTTGCTTGCCGTGTATCTGGAGGCTGCCCACAAGGATGTGTTCAGGATCGAACAGCTTCAAAACGCGCTGGAACGCTGGACTGTGGTTCTGCTTCAGATACTCCTCAACGTTCGGGTTTGGCTTTTCATAATGGGTGACGATGAGATACGCTGACTTGGTCCATTCCTTGCCCAGAAGAGCCGTGAAAAGACGCAGCTGCCGCTCTTCCTCCGAAGTGAGAATGTCGTGCTTGACCACAAGAATGGTGCAGGTCAGACCGACGCGGAAGTTGAAAATGATGTTGTACAAGTTGTCAATGACTTGCTTCCTTGTGAATCGCGGATCGGTGAGGCCGATGGTGTCGACGATGGCACGATCCTGCTTTGCAGAGATGTAAGCGGTGACGGCGTCCGTGGTGCCGTTGGTACTCCCACAGTCAGCTGTGATGGCAGGGCTTCGGAGAGCCTCTTTGGTTGGGCTCTTGTTGAGCAAAGCATTGATGACAGTTGACTTGCCGACGCGAGAGCCTCCAACGATCAGGACGCGCTGCTTCCTGGCGTTGACAGTGTTGTGTTGTGGCTGTTTTGGTGAGGTGGAATCGTCAGGCCCCGAGTTGGCAGGCATCTGAATGCTCGCCCTTGCGATATCGTTTGGCACGCCAATTGAAGGAACCAAGTCTTCATCGCTCTCGTGTTCGTGTTGGTTCAGCGTGAATTCTTCCATGCCGTCGACGGCGCTTTCGGAAGATTGAACACTGCCCATGACAGTCAACAATGGCCTCTCTAATGAATGCGGTTCATCGGCATTGACGACCCGGTATGGGGCCTTTGTAGCCACATTCTTGGATTCGGACTGACCCATGGTTGCTTCGTTGCGCGCGTGTGTGCTGTTGCTCAGGAGCAGACGAGGCGTCCACTTGTTGCTGTATTGGAGGTATCCTGTGTCCTGCGATAGTGTCGGCAAAATGGATTTGCTGAGCTGTATCTCGGCTGTGACAGTGTCTCTGCGCTGTGTTGCTGGTGTGGGAAAATGAGCAACGCAGAAGAGAGAAGCAAGGGAAATCGAAAAGAAGCAAAGCAGGAAGAGGGAAGAATAAGATAACACGAGAATGCCGTGCTGTCTGGCAAGACTAGCACAAAGTGCAGCAGCTTGTTTTGCGTTGTTGTTGGTCGTGGTTGCGGTTTTGCGATGTCCCAGCCCATGTGTGTCCTTGTGTGCGTGTGTGTGTTTTGTTTTGCAAAGGTGGTGTGAGATGTGACAGACGCTCGTAGGCTCGTGTGTGAGTCCTGTTGTCCACCAGACAGCCAGTCCTTTTGTTTTGTGCTGTCCGCTTTCCTGTTTTGTCAATGTAAATGCAGTCTGTGCACTTTGTCGTGTCGCCATCGACGTCTTCTGCTCATCAACAACAAACAAACAAACGTCCGCTCACACCCCCCACCCTCAACACCTCAACACCTCACCACCATGGCTTCGCCGCATCGGTCGTTCTGGGACGTGAGCGTGGAGCTGAGGATCAGCGAAGCAAAGAACCTTGGCACATCCAAAGACCAGTGCGTATTGCCGTCGCAATCAGAGGACCGTGTGCTCGTGTGGATGTTACTTTTGTTGTTTTTTTGTTGTGCGGTTCACATCGTTTGCAATGTGAAATTGTGACATGTCACACAGCCTTCTCATGTTGACCACGCCCTTTTCTCTGCACAACAACCACCACTGGCAGGAACGATGCCATGAGCCCTTACTGTCTCGTGGAGGTAGATGACGAAGAGGTGGCGCGTACCTCGACAAAGTGGCAAACGTTCAATCCTTTCTTTGGCGAAACCTTCCACATTGCCATGCCACACAACTTCAGCGTCATGTCCATCTCCGTGTGCGATCAGGTGAGTGAGATGTTGCAGGTGTGTGTGCGCGCGTGTGTGTTCGTGTGTGTATGTGTGTATGTGTGTGTGTGGTTGTTGGTTTGTTGTTTCATTTGCTCGCTTTCTTGCGAGCCAGGGCGCTTCAGTTCCCACTCCGGTCTCACGTCTCGTTTTGTACACGCCTCGTGCAATCACCAGACGAAGGGCACCAAGCTGGGTCTCATGTACCTCAACCGAGCAACCTTGTTCAAGTCTCTTAGCAGCGACGGTAAGGGGTCTATGTGATGGCTTTCTCCACAAGAGTTGCGTTGCTTGTTGTTTGCGTTTGTTGTCTCATGAGTGAGCGTGACAGCAACGCATTCACCACATTCGCCTGCTGCTGCCGTTGCTATTTGCATGTGCGTGTGTGTGTGTGTGTGCGTGTGCGCGTGTGCGTGTGTGCGTGTGTGCGTGTGTGCGTGTGTGCGTTTGTTTGTCTGTCTGTCTGTCTGTTTGTTTGTTTGTCTGTCTGTTTGTTTGTTTGTGCGTGTGCGTATGTATGTTTCCCTTTCCTTTCTCTTCCAACCAGGCCACAAGGAGGCATGGTTCCCGCTGTTGAAGCCAGTGCCTGTGATTGAGGTGCAAGGGGAGTTGTTTGTTGAGCTGCTGCTCACCTCCACCCCTTATGGCTCAAAACGCCTGGACGTCACCGTTGTCAGGGCTCGCGACATCTTCCACAAGGTAACCTATAACGTGCATATGCGTAATTGTGTGTTCGTGTGTGTGTGTGTGTTGTGCGTGCGTGTGTGTTCGTGTGTATGTATGCGTGTGTGTGTGTTCGTGTGTATGTGTGTGTGTGTGTGTGTGTGTGTGTGTTGTGTGTTGTGTTCTTGTTTTGTTTTCGTTGTTCAAATGTCTCCATGACGACGTTGTGCCCTACGTCCCCACCTGTTTTGTTGCTCGTGCGTCTGTCCTTCACAGGGCTTCAGCGGCAAGTGTGAGCCATATTTTGAGCTCTCTTTTGACGGCGACACACGAACATCAGAGAAAAAGCGCGGCGCAAGGTGCGTATGTGTCTTGATGTGTGTTGTGTTGTGTGTGTGTGTCGTGACTGACGTGCTGCTGGACAGCGTGACCCCATGTTTGATGCACGTGCCCCGTATTCCACCGCAACTCACACACCACCTTTCAACTCGTGCTGTATCTCTCTCCCTCTCTCCCTGCCTCAATCCTCTCATCCCCCCTCACACTGCAGGTTTCCGCTGTGGGATCAGTCGTTTTCGTTTGAGCGGAAGACGCTGCCTGATTCGTTCACCATCACCGTGTTTGACGGCACAAGTACGTAGGAGGGGGGAAGGGAGAGGCGTGCGCTGCTTCACGTGATCCTATCATAGATTCAGTTGCACAATCAACACAGACCGACCGACAGACCGACAGACCGACAGACCGAAAGACAGACAGACAGACAGACAGACAGACAGACACACACACACACACACACACACACAGACAGACAGACAGACAGACAGACACACAGACACACACAGACACACACAGACACACATAGACACACATAGACACACACAAGCCAACACATAGACATGCGTGCTCATCACTGCCACCTGTCGTCGGTCTGCAGAGAAAGCTGGGCAGTCGCTGCTTGGCCAGGCATCCATCACCCTTGACCACCTCGAGCCAGGCCTCAGACACCCACAGTGCGTGTTGTGCGTGTGCGTGTGTGCTTGTGTACACGTGCGCGTTGACTTGCTTTGACAATCGTGTTTGTGTGGCTCCTTCGAACAATGTGCCCACTTCCCGCGTGTTTGTGTCAGGTGGCACCGGCTGGAACCGCGTGTTGAGGACTACGACGGCAACACAAGCGGCAACGGAACAATCCGCGTGTTTGCACAGGTGCAACAACAGCAGCCACGCTCACACCCTGCTATCGCTTGCATCGTGTGCACCCACTTTCCTTCATTACACACACACATGCCCACACACACACACATACACACTAACACACACATACACACTAACACACACATACACACATGCCCACACACACACACACACACACACACACACACACACACACACACACACACACACACACACACAC